CCAGCCATCACATATATAAAACACATATTGAAATCACAAACAACCATTATATTTTGTGTTGGTGATCCGCATCGTCGAATGTACGCAACTTTCTCTTTGTCAGAAAGACGTGCGTCGACATGTGTTCCGTCAATGGCTCCGATGCAATCCTGATACGAAGGAATTAATCAATAATAAAATCATGTGTGTGACATTTTATTAACTAACATTTAAATATGTGGAACACCTTAAAGAACGGCATATAACGAGGGTCATTCGCAATATGTGTGGGGATGGACTGGAATGTTGGATCCTCTGGTTTTAATATTTCACGGGCTAGACTCACCAGTGCATTCAACCCAGCTGAGAAATACCTGCTTATGGTTTCGGAGGAATGTTGAAACCGTTCCATCGCTCCTCATCGATTCGTTCTGGGCCAAAATATAAAGTGTTATTGCCAACACTTCTCTAGATGTTGTTTTTGATGATCCTTGAAGTCCGTGGAGGGTCCGAAGTTCACTTAGGAGATCAAGAAAAATGATTTTTGTCATACGAAACATATTTGCAAAACGTATCGGGTGCCCATGTAATAACTCTCCGATCCAGTTATCTCCAATATTGCTGGACGTCATGCATGGGTTTCGATCTACATATGTGTTGTAGTAATGGTATAACAACGTAAGGGTGAGAGTAACAATGCGGATTTGATTAATTTGCCCTTCATCCATAATACAAAATCTGGAAGGAACGTAGACTTTTAAACCAGATAGCAAATAGTGATGTAATATCAGAAAACATATAAAAAATGACAATAGAATAGAAATAGTATGTGCATATGTAAACATCAAAGTTCGATATGTAGCCAACATATTCAAGGATGATAGAAATGCAATGTGAAGAACGAGTTCATCGCATAAATAAAAAAAAGACACAAACAGTCCATCAAACAAATAGTCAATGAAGTTACATAAATGACATTCAATCTTTCATAAAAGAGCGCAAGGAAGAAAGACGAAATTCTGGGTCTAAAGTCTCAAAGAACTGCCTCCGGTGCCTCCGGGTAGAGTTCCCTAGCAACTTCACGTACTTAACATACATATCCTGTCTTCCTTAATGCGAGGATATGTGTTAAGGATCTTAACACACTCATGGATTGTGCTGTCCTTCGCAGTTTTTGAATTATTTTTGGAAATTTCAATCAATGTCTCAATAAAACCTCTAACAAATGCAAAGCCTTTTTTATTTTTTATAGGACGGGGGCGCTTTGTTCCACCAGTGGATTGGATATCCGTGTGGATTTGGCTGGGACCTTCTCCTGAATCACCTATATGCTCGGTCTCTATATCCTCAGCTAGGTTTGCAACACCCTGCTCATTAGGGGTGAAAAAATGAGTTCCTGTTGCTACAACACCAGTAAACATGCCATCCAACTTCTCCTCCAAAGCTGGTTCAATTCCATTAAATTTGAATTTTTTGGCCACTGGCACAACCTATAAAAAAAAACAATCTAATCAATATTCAAAAAATATGTCTGTAAAATTTAATTGAAAGAGTGATGTTCTTACCGCTAACTTTTCTGTCCACCATTCCTCAGGTGCATCAATTGTTCGTTTTACTGTATCTCATCCCAATCCAGTTGATCCTCTTTTAAGCTCTTTCCAGAGTTTCCAGTCCTTCTTTAATTGATCTCATTTGTTCTTTAGTTTCATCATATCGTAATCTCTTCCAGTTATTTCTTTGAATTTAATTGTGATATTATGTCATCTTTTTTTATTAAAAAAAGTTGTGGGTCGATTTTCCAATTCAACTTCCCTCACACATAGATCACAAAAAATATTAGTAGCCTCCCTGTCCCACATAGCCGATGAACCAGAGACTTTAGATTTACTCATCTTTTACCGTCATATCAACGGATGGTTAGATGACATTATGACTGAAAATGAGACACTTAAGATATGAAATATGCTTATGTAAAACAAAATTCAAAAAATACAATGAATTAAAATATGTATCAGTCTATGGGTGAAACATAAATGTGCTTTTCATATAACCATCATTTATGAGACATTTTCTTTTTATTTTTCTCTATTTTTATAGTATCACAATATTTGAGTAATAACCAATTGAAATTTGGAACACAGAGCATATTAGAAATTCTAAACCAATGCTAGCAAAGACAACCCAAAGGACCATAGACCATAGATCATATTATCTTCACCCAACTTTCTAATTCTAAACCAACAACCCAACTGACATCATCCTAGCTTGTTAAAAAACATACTTGGAAAACCTGATTCAACAACAGTGTATTGGATATACCATAATAAGATATATTAAGATAGACAATTTTCTTTCGTACAAGTAAAGACAAGAGTCTCATCGAAGCAAAAAAACTGAGTTACATAATAACCTTCATTGAAGTAAACATGTTTATCACCATATTGGTAATAGAATATTCATTGAACCAGTGCAAAGTATTTGCATAACCATAAGGTGAGAGCTCTAAAATAATTCCAAAAGACAAATCAAGATTCAACAGAAGGTGAATTTGGCATCACTGTCTACCTTCTACTTGCATCAATAGAGATAAATATCAGAGATAGTCAAAATTAGCCTTTAATACATTTACCAACAATCAATCACCAAAGTTAGTAGATATTACCGGCTATCAACAATCTATTGCTTGCAAATTGGATTGAAATAATGATAATTGACAGCTAACATGTAAGAAATGAAAATTAAATTTTCAAGAAAAAAAGATTGCAAAGATGGAAATGGATTTGATTCTCTTATAACCCTCCAATGGAGTTGATCAATGCTTCTTTTTCTTTCTCTAATTATTAATCAATCTGCAGCCTTTTGATAGCTGCATGCTTTGAACTCTATCATTGCCTCATGTTTAAATACAACTAATCTCGCTTTCTTAATTATGCTAAGAAAAATAAATTAAGTAAATTGAAGCCCATAAAGGCCTACATATTCCCTCTCTAACACATCAATGATTGATGCACGATTCGTTGTTAAACCAACTTCTTCTTTTTTGATGACCGAGGAAATTTTATATTGGGTTACAACAAGCTTTTATAATTTCATTGTCAGCCTTCATTCGATATGCATAGTAAATGACTGGCTTTATATAATTGTATCAAAATAAAAGTATCATAAGTCAAATCAAATGTTAGACAACACACATGGAGAGTATACGTACATTGTAAAATTCTGTAACATCATGGGGCATTCACAGGCATATGACCCAATTCTTATGTTTTTGCAAATCTAACCACTAAACTATTTCTTAACGATATCCCTGCATCAGAAATAAACAAATTACGATATTAAAAGTGATTTTCTCTAAAATGACAGACAAATGTATCTATAGATTTTTTTCAAACTACCCTCAACAAATACCCTCAAAGAATCAAATGACAGGGAAAAAAACATTGCATCAATATCAACCACCCTCAAGAAATAACCTAAAAGAATCAGTAACTTTGAATAGCATTCAAATGGCAGGGAAAAAAACATTGCATCAATATCAACTACCCTCAAGAAATAACCTAAAAGAATCACTAACTTTGAATAGCATGGAGTCCATATGAACATAAAACGAAAAAAAAAAATTCGATTACTGTGAATATACACTTTTCAACGAAAGATTGGGATGAGGAATGAAGAAGGGAACTGCATTGATGCTTCAAACATATCACAGAAATAGTGGATCTATATTTTTACCAGCGGTATTTGCACATTCAGAGTAGATCTAGGTTTTAGCCAACTCAACACTTCCAAACAGATGGATCGAGTGAAATTTCTTGCCAAAATCTCATATCTCTCGGCGAAATAGGGGAAAGAAGGGAGGAGCCGATTGAGGTAAGCGTTTTGTTACCTTGCAGAGGAGCGACGGAAGCGAGATCGACCAAATGTGCGAAGGAAGGTCGGCTGCGGGCTTGAGGGTAGCGAAGGAAAATATGGAGCCCAAACGCGGATCGCAGGGATATACCCGCGATCCGCGTGTAACATAAATTAAAAAGGTTGTTTCCAAAAACACATGTAAAACGTGATTTCCAAACGCCCAAGCGTAAGGCGGGCGTTTTTAAAAACGCCGCCGCACATTTAAGCTGTCCCAAACGGGCCCTTAATCTAGATCCATATGATAATTTGCCTTCTCTTAATCTGTATGTTTTTGGGGATATAATTGTTTCAACTCTCAATCTCATGAATCTAATGTTAGCATATTTAGTTTCAAAGATCAAATTGACAAAATGTTTTAAATCCTCTTTTGTTAGATGGGTAGAATTGAAAGAGAATTTATCATAGTACACCAAGGTTTATTAGACCTCAATCAACGCTCTAAAGAAACATCGTAGGGTCTTGTCTTTCAGTAAATGGTCTCTTACATTAGATGTAATCTGATTTTTTTTCTTAAATATAACTACTAATTCTTGGCAATTTCTCGATGTTGTACTCTTTTCAGCAAGTAGTTATAAAATTTTGCTTAAAGAGAAAGAGTTTAGCCATTCTTAGTTGTCCCAAACCACTCAATAAGTTTACTTCAATTGGCACAACCCGACAGAGCTAGCTTCAATGGGCCAAAAAATTGAACCTTTTATACTAACTCCATTAAATAAATAATGGGTGGGGCGCACGCGTGTGTGTGCGCATGAGAGAGAGGGAGAGAGAGAGAGAGAGAGACTTTTTTGTTACAAATAAGTGTTAAATATTTCCAATTCAAGTGGAAGAATAGCTCCTAAAGCCAATAGTTTGTCAAATAAATAATGTTTATATCAGCATGTTTTCTTGATTTCCCAATTTTCATCATGCTTTTAATTAGTACAAAACTCTATTTTGAAATTTGGGGTTGCCGAAATTTGTACTAAATTATGTTCACGTCACTTTTTACGCCCTTGACCAAAAATGCAGCTCTTTGATCATCTAGCTTGATCTCAAGTCGATCAAAATCATTACTCGAACCTTCAAAATGATTATATGTTGTTTCTTTCTTACTTGTCATCATCTTGCAGTTACATTGCTTTGAGAAGAACGGAATACCAACAACAGATAAACTATCATTTTGTTCGTTTCACAGGTATGTATCTTTGTTGTTTTTTTTAAATTACTTTTGATTCATTTTTACTTTTTCTTTTATTTCCTCTATTCAAAATTTTCATCCCTCATTCTCTGTCTCTCTCACACAAATCCTCTCTTTCTCTCTTTCAAGCAAACAGTCATACACACTCACAGATGCACCCCTTGTCCACGGTTAATAAATGTACTTTGAACTTCTTTTAGTATCCGCAGTGCGTGCATTTGATTTTTATTTAGGAAACAATAAAAACATAACTATCGTATCATAAATTCTTGTAATATCCAACTATGAAGCATGAACATTTGACATTGAGAAATGACATTACATGGGTATATGAACATAATATAATCATAAAAGTAGGAAATGATATGCCATAGGCATTATATGTATATTTTTATTAATATTAATGTAAAATTTGTAACCAATACATCGAAGTTAAATATTTTCTATAAAAAAATATTACACCATAAGGTATATTTATATATTGTCATATGTATCTCATAAAAACCTTTTAGCCAAAAAACAAATTTTGTTCGTTTAATTATAATTACTTGCATATTTCATCAAATTAAATAATCTCCAACCCATAATTTAATGAGTTGGTACAATCTCCAAATGCCCCGTTTGCTTTGGGACAAGTATCCAGCTCATGCGGCGTATATTTTAGTTATTTTTGTCTATAATTTTTGAGTAAAATACATCAACCATGATTTTTCAACATGTTCGATAGATGTTGGAACTTGTCAAAAGTGTGAGGCTTTTTAAACTCTCTGTGCTTTATAGCTATCCATATTGCATGCTTGAAATTCAAATTAGCTTGATAATGGATGTAAAAATTAATCTGTTTTCACTGCATGGCCCCTATTGAAATTGGTTATCCATTATTTTTCAGCTGAGTTGATTTGATTGGGATTTCGACGTTTTGTGCAGGGCACCTAACCCAGACACTGTTTTGGTTATACACACGCCTTTGGGTGTTTTCTCTAGCAAAAGGTTGCTCAAGAATAATGACAAAAAATCTAGTTCGCGGTTGATAAGGAAAGTTGCTCCTGTCAATTCAGTGTTACTTGGCAATAAGTCTAATCCCACGGATGTTGCAAGATGCATAGCTTATGACAAGGTGCAAACTCAGGTATACCATTATACTATAAAGGAATGTTTTATGGTCCAAGCAATTTATTTTTCTTACATTTTTGTTCCTTTTGACTTTAATGCGTTTTATTATTTTCTTAAGTTTTTTTAAATGTGTCTAGAACCTAAATTTTTTAAGATTGGTGCATGGGTTTTAGTATAAATGTTCATGTATTTTGTTGGGCATTTTCATTTCGATCTATGTGCTTCTTTGTTAAGCCCAAAAGGGATCTTTTTTTTTGTGTAGACCTAGTAGCGAATACCATTTTGTTGCATAAAGTTTGATTTTTTTAGTAATGGCATGAATGTTTTGCCAATCTATTAGACTTTTGCTTAATTCAATTAATTTGGGTTGGTTTATGATACCAGAGTTAGGTATGAACTCAGAGGAAACACATAAATTGTTATGAATGTAGAAATAGGATTATAACACGACAATATTGAAAGGAAAAACAACGACAGAACAATCTCTGACTAGGGCTGGAAAAGTAGATCCGAGAGCGAGGCTAGCATCGACAACATAATGAGGGTATGGGGAGGGTTGGTGGGTTGCGAGGTTAGTTAGGAAGGGGTTTGGGGCCCGACAGGTGGGCTGGATTATAAGAGTGGCTGCAGTAAAAGGTTTGCCGGGGGCTGGTAGGTAGTCCAGAGGGCTAAGACAACCAATCTGAGCACATTAATGGGGGCAACCTGAACTGGGGAGGGTATGGCGGAGCTGACAACAAGTAGAAATGCAGGGAAAAGGAATTGGCTGGCTAGGAAAACAGAGTAGGCCGCTGGAAAAAGTCGGCTGGGTGCTGGGAGGAAATTTGGAATTTTTATGGCAAGGCTAGGTTGTTCAGGAAAGACGACTCGGTGCTAGGATGAAGTATGGGGAGGTCGACAGCGGAGGAGAGGGGAGGAGAAGGGTTAGGTAAGGGTAAAAGGGGAAATACAACACTACTTCGGAGTAAGATACGGTCGGAACAACACCACCTCCCTGGATACAACCCTAGAGCAGGGAGAACAACTCCACACATTAATCTAAAATATGAAAACAACGAAGACAACCTTAATTCTTTGAAAACAACAATATATAGACTTCTATTGGAGGATAAAAGGAAAGGTTGCAAATGAAACTCTCACACAAAAGAGGAGGGAATACTCCAAAAAATAGTCATTAAAGGCTTTCAGTAAGGAAACAAGCTCATAAGGAAGGTTGGAGGAATGGGCTAGGGGCATTGCCTGATACGAAAGGTGGGAGAATGGACCAGTCTTATGCTAGCAGGTTTAGCTAATTGACTTTTCTCGCACCTCTCTATGGGATTTTACGCGGGATGGATCTGCTTTCACGTCAGTTTCCCGCCGTTGGGGGAGCTTCAACCTCATTTGTCAAAGCTTCTGATTCTTGTCTTCAATATTGGCGACACTAAGATCCCACTATCGGTTGTACTGTCTCCTGATGCATCGGAGGAGTCTTCCCCACTTACAAGTTCATGTCCTCATCAATTCGTTCTTCTGAGACTGTGGGTCATGCCTGTATTGTTGATTCTTCCTAAAGTAACCCATGATCGGTTCAATTGGGTGTGCAGTGTGGGTAATCTGAACCTTCCTGCATGGGGGTGGCGTTGGTGGTACAGTGTCTACCTGACATTCTCTTCGTTATATTTGTCCTGTGTCCGGTATCATCACTAAATTTGGTCCCACTGATGTTGTCTATTGGTAAGGGCTACTGTGATCTCAGGCTTCGCCAAAGGAAGTAGGTGTTGACCTCATTTTTAGTGAGGTTTAGTCTTCCTCTTAGGGTTTAAGATCTAGCCTTAGGGATCTCCCTTTGACTATCTTAGAGCCTTAGAAATGGGGCCCACCTCGTCTTAAGAAATTGAACCTACTTCTGTACCTTTTTGGAGTTTCGCGTGTGTGGTATCGACTTCTAGCACTTAGAAGGGTGAAACCAACATGAGGAAACCCAAAAGGGATTCCTATAGGACCTTTTGAGCCTTAGGGTGACCTTCTGCACAATTCACACTATCGCGCTTACAAACTTTGCAATTCAGAGAATCAACACGTTAGACCATTACAATTCACTTTGTTTGCACTTTTACCTGTCGAAAACTCGAATAAACTTTTGAGACGATCGATCGCGTGTCGAAATTTTGTGAAATTTGAATTTTGACGCGTTTTTGATCCGATTGTCGACGACGTCGTCCGAGCGACCCCGGATGACAAAATGGACTGCACCGGCGCGTCTGGAGCGTCGATTTTGTCTAGGGAGGACACCCATTTTGTTACGACACCGCGCGTGAATAAATCGCATGTGATTTAATATATATATATATTAATTTATATAAACTGAATCTTCCTTTTACATCCTAAGGCCCTAAATCCCTAAATCGAACGCACGCAAGACCCCCACTCATTCGCGTTTCTTCCTCTTGGTCGCTCGGTCCACCCCGTCCGCCCCCTTCCTCTCGTTCGCGGCTCATCCCGATCGCAGCCCTAGCCGAGCGGC